GACTTAAAAACTGAAGTAGAGACAATAAAGAAAGCACAACCTGAGGAATTGCAGGAAATAGAAAAGTTGCAGGTAAACAATCAGGAACTACAGATACAAGCATAACCAACAGAATGCAGGAGATGGAAGAGAGAATCTCAGGAGTTGAAGATACACTAGGAGAAATAAACACATCAACAAAAGAAAATCTTAAGTCCAGCAAATCCTTACCAAAAACATCCTGGAAATATGGAATACTATGAAAAGACCAAACCTAAAAATAATAGGTGTGGAAGAAGGTGAAGAAATCCAACTCAAAGGCGCAGAAAATATATTCAACAAAATCATACAAGAAAACAACCCCAACCTAAAGAAAGACATACCAATGAAAGTACAAGAAGCCTATAGAACACCAAATAGACTGGACAAAAGTAAAAGGTCTCTCCACCACATAATAAGCAAAACCCCAAACATACAGAATAAAGAGAAAATACTAAGAGCATCAAAGGAAAAGGGTCAAGTATCATATAAAGGTGAACCTATCAGAATTAAAGCTGAATTTTCCATGTAAACTCTGAAAGCCAGAAGGTCTTGGATAGATATTCGACCTACACTAAGAGACCACGGATGCCAGCCCAGACTACCATGCCCAGCAAAACTTTCAATCAGTATAGATGGAGAAAAGAAGACATTTCATGACAAAACCAAATTCAAACAATACTTATCCACTAATCCAGCCCTACAGAAAGTTCTGGAAAGAAAACTGCAACCCAAGGAAGTTAACTACAACCAGTAAAATATAGGCAATAGAAAATACCACTTTGCCAACAGTCAAAAGAAAAATGGGGTGGAAACAAACACATAATTTCATCACCACACCAAATCCAAAACAAACAAGAATGAACCATCAATGGTCATTAATATCTTTCCATATTAATGGTCTTAACTCACCTATAAAAAGACACAGGTGAGCAGAATGGATAAGAAAACAGAATCCATCCTTCTGCTGCATACAAGAAACACACCACAACTTCAAAGACAGAAAGTACCTAAGAATTAAAGGTTGGGAAAAGATTTTCCAATCAAATGGACCCAAGAAACAAGCAGGGATAGCAATCCTAATATCAAACAAATTGGACTTTAAACTAAAATCAATCAAAAGAGATGAAGGAGGTTGCTTCCTACTCATCACAGGAAAAATACATCAGGACAATGTCTCAATTCTGAACATTTATGCCCCCAAAATTATGGTATCCACATTCATAAAAGAAATATTACTAAAACTCAAATCACATATAAAACCGCAGACTTATAGTGGGAGACTTCAAGACCCCACCCTCACTACTGGACAGGAACACCAAACAGAAACTTAATAAAGAAACAAAGGAATTAATAGAAGTTATGGCTCAACTGGGCTTAACACACATCTGTAGAACATTCCATTCAAGTACAAAAGAATGGAACTTCTTCTCAGCGCCACATGGAACCTTCTCAAAAATCAAAAACATAATTGGCAACATAGCAAGCCTCAACAGGAACAAGAAAATTGAAAGAACTGCCTGTATCTTATCCAACCACGATTCTGTAACTTAGAATTAAAAAAAAAATTGCAGAAAACCTACAACACATGGAAATTAAAAAATGCCCAATCGCACAATTCCTGGGTCAAGGAAGAAATAAAAAAATCAAAGATTTCCTAGAATTCAATGGGATTGCAAAACAACATACCCAAACCTATGGGACACTTTGAAAGCAGTGCTAAGAGGAAAGTCCATAGCCTGAAGTGACCACATGAAGAAACAGGAGAATAGTAACACTAGAGAATTAACAGCACAAGTGAAAGCTCTAGAACACAAAGAAGCCAATACACCACGGAGGGGCAGATGCCAGGAAATAATCAAATTGAGGACTGATATCAATAAAGTGGGAAATAGGAGAACAATACAAAGAATCAATTTAATGAAGAGTTGGTTTTTCGAGAAAAACAAAAGATAGACAAACCTTTATCCAAACTTACAAAACAGCAGAGAGTGAACATGCAAATTAATAAAATCAGGAATGAAAAAGGGGGCAAAACAACAGACACAGAGAAAATCCAGAGAATTATCAGGTCATAGTTTGAAAACCTGTAGTCCTCAAAATTCAAAAATCTATAGTAAATGGACAATTTTCTGGACAGATTTCACTTACCAAAATTAAATCAAGAACAGATAAGCAACTTTAATAGACCTATAACCCCTAATGAAATAGAAGCAGTCATTAAAAGTCTCCTAACCAATAAAAGCCCAGGACAAGATGGCTTCAGTGCAGAATTCTACCAGAAATTCAAAGAACAGCTAACACTAATCTAATTCTCCTCAAAGTTTTCCACACAATAGAAGCAGAAGGGTCATTGCCAAACTCTTTTTACAAGACTTCAATTACCTTGATACCCAAGCCACACAAAGACACAAATAAGATAGAGAACTAAAGACCAATCTCCCTCATGAACATTGATGCAAAAATACTCAATAAAATACTGGCAAAATGAATCCAAGAACACATCAGAGAAATCATCCACCATGATCAAGTAGGCTTCATGCAAGGGATGCAAGGATGGTTCAACATACGAAAATCAATCAATGTAATCCACCATATAAACAGACTGAGGAAAAAAAAATCACATGATCCTCTCACTAGATGCCGAAAAAACCTTTGACAAAATCCAACACCCCTTTATGATAAAGGTCTTGGAGAAATCAGGGATAACAGGAACATACCTTAACATGATAAAGGCAATATACAGCAAGCAGACAGCCAACATCAAATTAATTTGAGAGAAATTTAGAGAATGCAATTTCTCTAAAATCAGGGACAAGAAAATGCTGTCCACTCTCTCCATACCTCTTCAATATTGTCCTTGAAATTCTAGCTAGCACAATAAGACAACAAAAGGAGATAAAGGGGATAGAACTCAAAAAGTAAGACATCAAACTTTCACTATTTGCAAATGCTATAATAGTGTACGTAAGTGACCCAAAAAACTCTACCTGGGAACTCCTACAGCTGATAAACATCTTCAGCAAAGTGGCAGGATAAATGATTAACTCAAAAAACTCTGTAGTCCTACTATATACAGATGATACATTCGGGGAGAAAGAAATCAGAGAAACATCACCCTTTTCAACTGCCACAAGCAACATAAAATACCTTGAGGCAATACTAACCAAAAAAGTGAAAGACCTGTATAGGAAGAATTTTGAGTCTTTAAAGAAAGAAGTTAAGGAATATACCAGAAAATGGAAGGATCTACCATGTTCTTGAATAGGTAGGATCAACAAAATAAAATTGGCAATCTTGCCAAAAGCAATCTGCAGATTCAATGCAGTCCCCATCAAAATCCCAACACAATTCCTCAAGGACCTTGAAAGAACAATTCTCAACTTTATATGGAAAAAAAAAGACCCAGGATAGCCCAAACAACCCTGTACATTAAAGGAACTTCTGGAGGCATCAGCATCCCTGACTTCAAGCTCTATTATAGAGCTATAGTCCTGAAAGAATCTTGGTATTGGCACAAAAATAGACAGGTAGACCAATGGAATAGAGTTGAATATCCTGATATTAACCCATATACCTCCGAACACCTGATTTTTGACAAAGATGCTAAATGTATATGATTGAATAAAGAAAGTATCTTCAACAAATTGTGCTGGCATAACTGGATGCTGGCATGTAGAAGACTGCAGATAGATCCATGTCTATCACCATGCACAAAACTTAAATCCTAATGGATCAAAGACCTCAAAGTAAATCTAGCCACACTGAACCTATCAGAAGACAAATTGAGAAATATACTTGCATTAATTTGTACATAAGACTGGTTCCTGAACACTACACCAGTAGCACAGACACAGAGACCAACAATTATCAAATGGGACCTCCTGAAATTGAGAAGCTTCAGTAAGGCAAAGGACACAGTCAGCAAGACAAAACAGCAGCCCACAGAATGGGAAAAGATATTCACCAACCCCACATCTGACAGAGGGCTGATCTCCAAAATATACAAAGAACTCAAGAAGCTAGTCACTGAAATACCAAGTAATACAATTAAAAAGTGGGGTGCAGAACTAAATAGACAATTCTCAATAGAGGAATCTAAAATGGCTGAAAGACACGTAAGAAAGTGTTCAACATCCTTAGCCATCAGGGAAATGCAAATCAAAACAACTCTGAGATACAATCTCACTCCTATCAGAATGGCTAAAATCAAAAACACAATGACAATCTATGCTGGAGAGGATGTGGAGAAAGGGGA